AGTACACAGAGTTACAAAGAACACAGAATTTAAATTGACTAAATATTCTTAATGGAAATGTGAAAGTAAAAATCAGTGCGTTGGTACAGCTTTTCTGCGTTATCTTGAAGAAGACCGGGCTAGCAGTAGATGACTTGCCAAGTGGTTCGAATGAATTTGAATGAAGATTTGTTTCTATTTGCATTTAATTTTAACACGTTTATCTTTGATGAGTGGTATTTTTCTTTAATCAAGCCCAAATTCTTACTCAAATGGGTGATTTAAAATGAGTACAAGGCTAAAATTGTTAAAATAGTACTGAATTTTAATAATTAAAAATAACTATAATCAGTTTTTTTATAGCTGATTTATGAAATCATTCTTATATGCTACAGCAAGTGAATTTTTAATGAACTTTCACAGCAAATTAACAAAACTCTTAGTTAGAATAAGACAAGTACGACTTTGGCTTAGTTGAGTAATTAACACTGACTCTGAGTTTCAAATTATGGCAGAGTAAGTTTAAGTCTTGATACTTATAATCTGAAAAAATTATTTGGAAATAATAAAATATAAAAAATATTTCAAAAAAGATCACTTATGATGAGTACTTGACAATACTCGAAACATCTGTATTGTCAGTAAAAAATTCAATTAAATAAAAATAATAAAATTTTTGTTGTTGTAATTACATATTGTTCAAAAATCTCTATATTATAAAATTCTTTTATATAGATATTTGTCTATGCATTAGTTTAAACAATACAAAAAATATATATTCTTTAATATATATTCTTTTTATATTAAAAAACAAAATAAACTAATCGTGCTAAGGTTTTATAATGAAAGCTTTTATTTAGAGTACTTGTCAATGCACTTTTTTAATTATTTTTAATTGGTGAAAAAAGGAAATAGAAGAGAAAATAAATGCTTATAGTCTTATTTTTATATTTGTTTTTATTATTATAAAGTAGTCTGTATAAATGTTGCCGACATTTCGAAGTTTGGAATAATACTTCGTCCCTGAGGAAGAAATCAAACGAGCTTCGAAACATGAATCTTTTTTCATCAATTAGAAAGATTTTATTTTTGAAAGATGCGGGTTTAACACCTAGATTCGGAATAATATGTCTACAATTTTCATCTTTAATATGGATTAAACAACAATAATAGATGCGGATACCGTAAAAAATTCAAATGCCCACCAAATATTTTTGTCAAAGGATTCCTTTGGAAAATACAATGTCCTTAATTTTAAAATTTCAAAAAAAAAAAATATTCTGATATTGCAGTGGCGTGTAAAGTTCTCTTTACAGCATTTTTTTTTGTAAAGTACATTGTGTTTAATCCTTAGATGTGAGAGAAAAGATATTCTATCCTTAGGTATGCAGTTGTATAATAGTGCTTTAATGCTATTACTGTTGAATTGATGATATTGATGTTGAAAGCTCAAACAATTGTTTATTTTCTTAATGATATGTTTTTTAATAGATTTCAGAAAATCTTTACCTTTAGAGTACTTTCAGAAATTGATCAGCAAGTCCAATATATGATATGAAAACTGATGTAGTTAATCAATTTTAAATTATTAAAGTAAAAAAATTAATACAATTCCTTACTATTAGTGGATTATTAGGACTTATGTTGTATCCAGAAAACAAAGCATTTGGTGGTATATGTATTTTTTATGACAGGTTAGTTCTTTCTTCATTGCGAGGATAAATTATATACATTAGCGTTCTTTATGTTTAGTATGAAATATATTATTTTTGCTATTTTATATTATTTTAGTGTTTCATATATATATAATTAATTTATATATGTTAAACAATAGTAAAAATTACAGATGAAACTACTCCAATAACATGGAATTCATGAACTTTATCGAAGTATTTACTGAGCTGTCCAAACAATCTTCATGCTTCATGTAGTGATTTAAAGGATTAAGGTATGTTTCAACATACAGTAAGGCTACATAAATAAGTGCTATAAATATAATTCATTTAAAATCAGCTGCGCTTGGTATGATATATAAATCTGAAAAATTTGTCAAATTGAACATATAAAAAACATATAAAAACTACATACATACAAAACTATTTCTGTTTAGTTAATTAATTTAATTTAACTTTTTAAATATATTTTAATTTAAAGTAATATAACTAAGAAATTGTTATTACAAATTTGGAAAATTTTTTTTGTAAATAAATAATTTTATGTTGAAAATTTTTTCCTAAAATTCAAATCACTACGGACTTGGATTCACTCATACTTAGGCTGGTAACTTGTTATAGAATTATATTTCTTTACTATTTATAAAAGCAAATTATATTTCATTTATTTAAATAGTAGTTTGAATCTGTAAGTCATTTAACATATTTTTAAATGTTAACCCAATTAACGCAATCGTACATATAATAAATTTTTTTAAATACTTCCTATTGGAAGGTAACTAAATAATGTTACTCATACGCACTGAATGTGAAAAATGTACGTTTATAAAATTGAACTATATCGTATGTGAGATAACTAAATCATATAGACTGACAGTGTATTTCGCATAATGATAAATGTAAAAGTTAAATTGAAAATTTATGAAAATATATACTTGTATAACGTTAAGTTGTCTAAAGTAGTTTTTAAAATTCATGGATACCTTTTTAACTATAAAAAGGCTTGTTTGATTCTAATCCATCGAAATATCGAGGACTCTCAGTAAAAAGTCCATATAACATAAAAATATATATGTAGAAAAATCAAATGCAATCAAATATTTTATGAATCCGTCAAGTTATATGCATATTAAAAGAAATAGAGAAATTGAAAGTTACTACGATTTCGGACTCCCAGTCAAACGAGACATAACTGCCTCTAACCGAAAATAGCCAATTTTATTATTTTTCTGGTTAAGTTCAATGACGGACATTCATAAAGAATGAGACTAGAAGAACTAACGAATTGACCGTAATCGAAAAACAGGTAGGATTGATTTTTTCCTGTCTAAGATCAAAGAAGGGCAGTTAAAACCATGAGACCAGAAGAACTAACATACTTACCCTAATAGAAAAACAGGTATTACTATTCGTTTCTTGGTTCAGATCACTGACGGGCAGTCAAAAATAATGGGACCAGAAGAAATAATATTCTTTTCTAGTTAAGAACAATGACAAACATTTATAAACAATAAGACCACAATAACTAACATATATTGACCTTAATCGAAAAACAGGTGCTACTAGTTTTTTCTTGGTTAAGATTAATGATGGACATTCATAAATAATGATACCAAAAGTCTCATCTCTTTCTATGCTCATGTGTTGTCTCAGATAGACCAACCTTATTGCGATAGTACCACAGATATTAATCAGTTTTATTAAGATATTATTATAAAGTTAAATTAAATACAAATTATTACAACTATATAAAAATTTAGTTGTTTTTAATCTATTATTTCCAAAAAATATTTTTACCAAAATCTTATTTATTCAATTTACTTTTTAATATATATTTGGTACGTATATATATACATATATATATGAAGGTAAATGTAAGGTAAAAATTGGGTAAAATTTGTCCGGTGCATTCTGAGAGAAAAAAGGTTGTTAGAATTATAAAGACTAATTTAATAATAAGGCTCATAGACCAGATCAATGATAGGAAAAATTAAGTTAATCAATTTATTTTAAGTGAAATATATAATAATACAAATTCTTGAATGTACATAAAAATACTCACAATTTGTTACTTATACATGGTCACCACACATATTACCAAATCATTATAATGCTGAAATACATATAGAGAATAATGCTTCACAATAATTAAGTTATATTGCCACCCTGTATGTCCTTTGACTGTCTTTTTGTAGCCCAACAATTTGATACTTAGGGAGAGGCATTCGAATGGACTTCTTTTTTTCTACATATACTTTTATGTTCATTCACGAATTGGTATATAGATATGTTTATATATGTATAAAGATACATATACTTGTACTCGTATATATGCCTACATATGTATATTCGAACATAACTATAAACATATGAATTTACTCTTTTATGCAAAGATTCAGACAAGGACAAACCCAAATAAAAAGGAACACAAAAATAAAATTATATTGATATTTTTATTTTTTATGTTTGTAACGAAAACGCCATTATATAAGAGGTTGCTTAACTTTACTTTATTAAGTTCTTCCTTTTTTCGGCAACAGGAGTCGAGGAGTTGTCTGCTCCACTCAACTTTATTTTGTTTAAGGATATAAAAAAAATGACTTGTCTACACAGTGGAGTAGAAAAGTAAGGGAAACGGCTTATCAATTTCAGCAATTTTAGTATTATATATTTTATTACAGTGGTGTAGAAAAGTAAGGGAAATGGCTTATCAATTTTCAACAAAAAGTCTATGCTTTTTCGCGTAGACTCCGTGGTGCTAGTATATCAGCATTATCAGTATTGTTGGTCTCAGCCCATGCGATAGATTTATCGATAGTTTCAGTAGCTTTAGAACGTTTTACATAATTGTGTTATAATTTTATAAAGAATATAAATTGTGAAAATAATTAATTTCTCTTCAAGGAATTCATTTTTGGTCATTTGTAAAAAAATAACGAAATTTCTCTCTATTTTTAAAATTTTGAATGTACCATACAACCCAAGAAAATTTTAACTTGAACAGATTTTGTAAAATAATAATTTTTTTTTATGTTCTTATTGGACGACTTAAAGCTACACAGTCTTTAAGTTGGTCGCTTTCATTTACGTAAACATTCAACACTCTCATTGAGTGTCCTGTAAAGACATTAGTCTTATGATAGGTTTGTTGATGGGTCACAGTCTTTGAGGAAACTTCGCTAAAAGATTGAATCTTCCGTTTAATCAGAAAATTA